ACACAGACTGCTGATCCAGTCACATATTTACCCCGTCCTGTTTTCTAGCAGATGGAAGATTGTCTAGTTTAGGGCTGATTGACACTTTTGTATTTCGGAATGCATACAATCTTTACATTTAATTTTTTATGTTCTCTCAAGCTTGTTTTTTAACCGGTTCTGTGCCGCCCTATAGCAGAAATACTGCTGCAGGGCGGCACGGCTGCGCAAAATCATGTGTATATATATATATATATATATATATATATATATATATATATGATTTTGCATTTCTGGGTAGGGGAAGCACGCCCTACCCCGTGCTGCCATTTGCGGCCTCGGATGTCAATCACCGGGTCCCGGACGGTGATTCCCCGCCGGCACCTGGTGATCTCTGAGTATCACTGACGGGGGGAGAGTCCTGTATGTAAACAATACAGATCTCTCCCCTGTTATCTCTTGCACACTGCTTTGTATTGCTCTGCATAGCAGAGCAATACAAAGCAGTGTTCTTACAGTGTAAAGCATACGCACAGCAAAACAGCACACAGTAAACCCTTTGATCGCCCCAGATGTTAACCCCTTCCTGCCCAGTGTCACTAGTACAGTGTCAGTGCTTTTTATTAGCACTGATCACTGTATTGGTGTCACTGGGGATGTCAGTCCCCCCCCCCCCCTCCCCCCCCCCAGTGTCAGAATGCCCACCACAGTCCTGTTATAAGTTGCTGATCGCCGCCATTACAAGTAAAAAATAATAAAAATTCCAGTATATATACCGCCATTTGTAAACGCTATAACTTTCACGTAAACCAATTAATTTACACGAACTGGGATTTTATTTAGCAAAGACATTATTATTATTATTATTATTATTATTATTATACAGTATTTATAAAGCGCCAATAGTTCGCTCAGCGCTGTACATTACAAAGGGGGACAGAACATGTGACAGAACAATACCAATACAATGTGATACATGAGGGGATCGAGGGCCCTGCTCTTTCAAGCTTACAATCTAGGAAGACATGGAGCAGAATGTATTTTGGCCTAAATTTATGGCAAAATTTGATTTTTTTAATTGTTTTACCGGACATGTTTAATAGCAAAATGTCAAAAATATTGTTTTTTTTTTTTCAAAATTGTCGGTCTTTTTTTGTTTATAGCACAAAAAAATAAAAAACGCGCAGGGGATCAAATACCAGCGAAAGAAAGCACCATTTGTGGGAAAAAAGGATTTAATTTGGGTGCAGCACTGCATGACCGCGCAATTGTCAGTTAAAGTAACGCAGCGCCGTGTCGCAAAACGTGGCCTGGTCCGGGAGGGGGGTAAATCCTCTTTAGGGGAGAGGGTTAATGCAGCATTTTTGATTGGGATATAAGTCCCTGTATTAAAGTGAATGTAAAATTCTTGTGTTGTGTGATTTTCATGCGTTTTCTATGTGGTGAAAAGTATCTCTACGTAGGACGTGTGCAAATGCACTGGAGGAGAATGTATGGATAGAAAGAGTGCTGCTGATGATAATGACACAGGACTCATCACGGACTTTGTGTACAGTTTCATATGCATCTAACTCCAGCAAATATTCCCCAGTGTGAAGGAAGCCATAATCAATTATATATGGGCTGTCAGCAAACATTAATTCAAAGTTCAATCTCCTTAATAAAAAATGAAGCGTGATTTGCAGATGCGAGTCGCTAGTATGTAGCATGTATTGATTTCTTCTTTAGGATTTCTTTCCTTTATATCCATCTGGTGATCTTGCCAGTAAGTCTGTTGCTTTTCAAAAGAACAAGCTCTAATAACTGGCTTCTGTCGATTTTGTCTTGCTGGAAAACCAGCACTGATCTGTGTATTGTGATGGTGGTGGTGGGGGGGGGGGGGGGGGGGGGGGGGGGGGGGGTGACATACTGAAGCAGAGCATGATCCCCTCCCTTCGGAGACTGGGCCGCAGGGCAGTAATCCAACATGATAACGACCCCAAACACACCTCCAAGACCACCACTGCCTTGCTAATGAAGCTGAGGGTAAAGGTGATGGACTGGCCAAGCATGTCTCCAGACCTAAACCCTATTGAGCATCTGTGGGGCATCCTCAAATGGAAGGTGGAGGAGCGCAAGGTCTCTAACATCTACCAGCTCTGTGATGTCGTCATGGAGGAGTGGAAGACGGAAGGTGGAGGAGCGCAAGGTCTCTAACATCCACCAGCTCCGTGATGTCATCATGGAGGAGTGGAAGACGGAAGGTGGAGGAGCGCAAGGTCTCTAACATCCACCAGCTCCGTGATGTCGTCATGGAGGAGTGGAAGACGGAAGGTGGAGGAGCGCAAGGTCTCTAACATCTACCAGCTCTGTGATGTCGCCATGGAGGAGTGGAAGACGGAAGGTGGAGGAGCGCAAGGTCTCTAACATCCACCAGCTCCGTGATGTCATCATGGAGGAGTGGAAGACGGAAGGTGGAGGAGCGCAAGGTCTCTAACATCCACCAGCTCTGTGATGTCGTCATGGAGGAGTGGAAGATGGAAGGTGGAGGAGCGCAAGGTCTCTAACATCCACCAGCTCTGTGATGTCGTCATGGAGGAGTGGAAGACGGAAGGTGGAGGAGCGCAAGGTCTCTAACATCCACCAGCTCTGTGATGTCGTCATGGAGGAGTGGAAGACGGAAGGTGGAGGAGCGCAAGGTCTCTAACATCCACCAGCTCCGTGATGTCATCATGGAGGAGTGGAAGACGGAAGGTGGAGGAGCGCAAGGTCTCTAACATCCACCAGCTCCGTGATGTCATCATGGAGGAGTGGAAGACGGAAGGTGGAGGATCGCAATGTCTCTAACATCCACCAGCTCTGTGATGTCGTCATGGAGGAGTGGAAGAGGACTCCAGTGGCAACCTGTGAAGCTCTGGTGACCTCCATGCCCAAAGGGTTAAGGCAGTGCTGGAATATAATGGTGGCCACACAAAATATTGACACTTTGGGCCCAATTTGGACCTTGTCACTTAGGGGGGGGACTCACTTTTGTTGCCAGCGGTTTAGACATTAATGGCGGTGTGTTGAGTTATTTTGAGGGGACAGCAAATTGACATTTTATACAAGCTGTACACTGACTACGTCACATTGTAGCAAAGTGTCATTTCTTCAGTGTTGTCACATGAAAAGATAGAATATTTACAAAAATGTGAGGGGTGTACTCACTTCTGTGAGACACTGTATGTATTCTCTGCTTAACTCCCGGTTCACACCTGTGCAGCAATGCGGGCCATGTTTTGCTCGGGCACAAGAGCCCATTAATTTGAATGGACTCCCGTGCCCCGGGACACGCAGGGAAAGAAGTCCCTGCACTTCTTTGGAAAGCGCAGCCCGCGCGGGAACCTCGGTCCCCAGTACGGTTGCGTTTCCTAGTGCATGCGGCGTGCCATTAGAACTAATGGCACCCGCCCGTGGGTTCGCCTGCACAGATTTTCGTGCGGATCCACATTGGCACCACCCGCACAGATGTGAACCTAGGGTCAGACAGGAAAGGGGGGGATTTACTAAAACTGAAGCACACAGAATCTGGTGCAGCTCTGCATAGAACCATGAGCTATGGACCAATAGAACCAATCAGCTTCCAGATGTTATTGTCAAAGCTTATTTGAACAAGCTAGTAAGTTAGAAGCTGATTGGTTACTGTGCACAGCTGCACCAGATTTTATGTGCTCCGGCTTTAGTAAATCTCCCCCCGAAGTGTGTTACTGGCTGGATCAACAAGGGAAAATATATTTTAAAAAATGTCCTAAAAAAAAAAGAAATCACATGCAGGCACCATGTTTAAGGACCACAAAATGTGAGTTAGTGAGCGCAGTCTGAAAAGCGACCAATGCACTAAAAGGAACCACAAAAACCTTTCTAATAGAATCATAAAACAAAGAGTGCAGCGCTTTATGAAAATAAACCTTAATCACAAAAATATAAACAGTAAAATTGAGTCCACTGTGATATCAAAATACGGATTCCTCAGTCCACAATGAGATTTCTAACACTGTAGGTGTAATCCGGTTTTCCGTTGTGGTGATATGAATAGATTGCCTACTCACCAGAAGCACAGTGCAAAAACGCATATCTGGATCACATGCATCCTGGGATCTCGGATGAAGACAGCCCGGTGTTAGGATCATCTGGTGGTCCCTCAATGATGTAAGAGAAGGATACCGATCTGGTCTCAAAGTGCTCACTCCTCAGGTCAGCAGCAATTCCTAAAATACTGGGGCTGTAGCCCATGCAGTGATAATTGCTGAGGTCAGTGGAGTTGAAACCTGGACCGGTAAACTGCATTAACAATATATATATAGTTTTGTTACAGTTAATATGGTATTGTTTTTTGATATATTACCACTTTAATTTCTGAATTTTGTATTTGGCCTCAGTTGCTCTTTAACCCCTTGGCACCGATGCCTCCCAGCCCTTTAACCACTTGCCTACCAGGCACTTATACCCCCTTCCTTACCAGGCCAATTTTCAGCTTTCAGCGCTGCTGCACTTTGATTGACAATTGCGCGGTCATGCAACATTGTACCCATATGAAATTTTGATCATTTTTTTCTCACAAATAGAGCTTTATTTTGGTGGTATTTAATCGCCACTGGGCGCTTTACTTTTTGCGCTATAAATAAAAAAATTGCAAAAATTTGAAGAAAAAAAAAAAGTTTCTTTGTTTCAATTATAAAATTTTTCAAACAGGTATTTTTTCTCCTTCACTGATGTGCGTTGATGAGGCAGCACTGATGGGCACTGATAGGCGGCACTGATGGGCACTGATAGGCAGCACTAAAGGGCACTGATAGGCAGTACTAATGAGGTGGCACGGATAGGCGGCACTAATATGCAGCACTGATAGGCGGCACTGATAGGTGACACTGATGATGGGTACTGATAGACGGCACTGACTGGCATCACTGCTGGGCACTGACTGGCGGCACTGACTGGCACAACCGCTGGGCACTGACTGGTGGCACTGACTGGCAGCACTGCTGGGCTGCACTGGTGGGTGGCACTGGTGGGCAGCACTGGTGGGTGGGCACAGGTGGGTGGCACTAGTGGGCACAGGTGGGTGGCACTGCTGGGCACAGGTAGGTGGCACTTCTGGGCACAGGTGTGTGACACTGCAGAGTGGCACAGGTGGGTGCACTGCTGGGCACAGGTGGGTGCACTGCTGGGCACAGGTGGGCGGAGCTAGTGGGCGCACTGCCGGGCACAGGTGGGCGGAACTTGCGGGTGGCACTGCTGGGCACCGATCATCAGGGCACTGATCATCAGTGCCCTGATGATCGGTGCCGATCCCCGCTCTGACAACTGCCGGTTCTCGGCAGTACTTTCCTCACGATCTGACAGCGTGAGGAAAGTGCAGCCGAGAACCGGCACTTGCATTTCCCTCTGATCAGCGTGTCATTGGACACCGCTGATCACGTGGTAAAAGGACGCTGTGATTGGCCTTTTACCACATCACGTGATCAGCTGTGTCCGTAGGACACAGCGATCACGGAGATCGCTGGGTGCGCGCCCCCTGGGGGCGCGCAGGAGAGCGCGTTCTGGGAGAACGTCATATGACGTCCACCCAGAACTGGCCGGCCGCAGTGCAGCCGTCTTTTGGCTATCTGCGGTCGGCAACTAGTTAAGAAGTCTCTGACGCCAGGCGAGGTTTAGGGTCATGTGACCACCGTGAATGGCAGTCACAGCGGTCACATATTCAGAAAGCTCCTGATTGCTACTTGCATGAGGCTTCAGTAACTGTGCCGGAAGTGTGCAGGGCATGCGCACATATTTGTCTACATCGGGTACGGAAATATGCAGCCTCTCGCCGTCAAGGCCCAGCCGCCAAAAGGGCGCATATATACATACCACCGGCGCTAAGGAGTTCAGGCCCTTTTTACACGGATGTTACCTGTTCAGTCATGTTTTTGCTAAGAAAAAACAGAATCCGTTTACATCAGTTTATCCATCTTCCGTTTTAGTTCTGTTCCGCTTACATTAATTTTTTATCCGTTTTTCATTCATTTATTAATTGGCTCCTGTCTAAATTGTCCCTAGTATGTGTATGTATGAATGTGAGTTAGGGACCTTAGATTGTACGCCCCTTGAGGGTTAGGGACCTTAGATTGTACGCCCCTTGAGGGTTAGGGACCTTAGATTGTACGCCCCTTGAGGGTTAGGGACCTTAGATTGTACGCCCCTTGAGGGTTAGAGACCTTAGATTGTACGCCCCTTGAGGGTTAGGGACCTTAGATTGTACGCCCCTTGAGGGTTAGGGACCTTAGATTGTACTCCCCTTGAGGGTTAGGGTCCTTAGATTGTACGCCCCTTGAGGGTTAGGGACCTTAGATTGTACGCCCCTTGAGGGTTAGGGACCTTAGATTGTACGCCCCTTGAGGGTTAGGGACCTTAGATTGTACGCCCCTTGAGGGTTAGGGACCTTAGATTGTACGCCCCTTGAGGGTTAGGGACCTTAGATTGTACACCCCTTGAGGGTTAGGGACCTTAGATTGTACGCCCCTTGAGGGTTAGGGACTGATGTGAATGTACAATATATATGTAAAGTGCTGCATAAATTGACAGCGCTATATAAGTACCTGAAATTAATAAATACATACATTTCCATTATTTTTAAACAAAATTGCAGACTTGTACCATTTAAAAAAACAGACCTTAACGGAAGCCAGTGAAAAATGGATGTTAACAGACAATGTGCGTTTACATCCGTTTGCCCTTTGGAATGCGTTACTGCCTGTTTTTCATCCGTCAATAGATGGGACACCGGTGTGAAAGGGACCTTAGGCACACACCTCTCTTAGATTGCTAAGACCTACAAAGCTACATATAGCAATCAGGTATTTTCATGTGCAGTCTTGGGAGACCTTTGTTTATTAGTACCTGAACCAGAACTCTTTTCTTTTGGTTCACACTGATGTGGTGCGGAATTTTCAGCGTTTTCAGTGCGAATTCCGCACCGCATCAGAATCGCACCCCGTTCATGCGAACCGCTGCAGGTGTGTATGTTAAGTTAACAACACCCCGAAAGCTGTTCGCAAAACACGGTGCGATGTGCAGAATCGGAATGCATAGGTGTGAATACCCGTGCGATCCAATTCTAGTGCGGACCAAAAGAAGGGTCCTGCACGTTTTTGGTGCGGATGCGGTGCGATTAGAACCATACAAAATGTACGGCTCCGATCGCAGCGCACACAAATCGCATGTAATTTGCACAGGATTGCGGTGCGGTTCCTGTGTGAATCACATGCGATGTACCGCACCGCGTATATGTGAACCCGGGGCTTAAAATAATTATGTGCTGTAGGTTTGATATCTTGGACCTTAAAAAAAAAATTTTTTTTCTTCTAGTGCAGGAAAATATCGCTTTTTACCACGAGTCAGTGCAGAAAATGGTCTCAACGAAATGCAGTTGCAGACAAGTTTTGTTGGACTTAGAAAATAAAATACTTTTGGTAAGTTAATGTTAACACATATTTTTTGTTTACATAGGGACAGTACATACATTCATAAGAAAACGAAAAGCTTATCGTTTATGTTTCAATAATAAGATATACAGGATGTAATAGTACAGTATACAGTATATTATTGTAACGGTTCTCCATTAAACGTGCAGCAGACCAAAACCTGTTTCCCAATCTAATCTTTTTCTAACCCTCACTCCTGTTAGATACAGGAAGTGCTACTGATTGGCTGCAGAGGCATCCAATCAGCATCTCTTCCACACAGGTCCTGCCCTGATGCTGTGGCACAGCGTTATGGGTAACAGTGGCATTGGAACTGATTGAGCCCAGAACAGCAGTGCGCTGAGCCAGGGGCCTGGCCAAATATCAACATTATTTTCGGGATCCCCGCAGAGCTTGGATCGGCTCTATGATGTCAATTGATAGCGGGCTTTAGCCTGCTGTCAGCTGAATCGGGTGTCACAGGAGTGCAGAACTAAGTGCACAACCGTGACCCACAGGAGAAGTAAAGCCAAAAGAGCTTTGGCCATATGTCTTCTTTAAAATATTTCCTTGGTAGGCAACTGGTTGAAGATAGTGCTCAGTGGAGTTCCTTTTTATAATAAACACCGGGGTTGAACTAGTAAGGGCAATGAACCTAGGTTCACGTATGTGTGGGTGGTGCTGCTGTGGATGCGCACGAAAATCCGTGCAGCCGCACCACCCACACAGAGAATTGCAGACCCGTGGGTGGGTGCCATTAGTTCTAATGGTATGCTGCCCGCACTGGAAAACGCAACCGTACTGGCAACTGAGGTTCCTGTGCAGGCTGCGATTTCCAAAGAAGTGCAGGGACTTCTTCCCTGCGTGTCCTGGGTACGGGAGTCCATTCAAATGAATGGGCTCTCATGCTCGTGCAAAATGCGGCCCACACAGCCGCATAGATGTGAACCGGGGGTTAGACCAGCAATGGGCAAACTACGGCCCGCGGGCCGTATACGGCCCGGCGGACCTTTTAATCCGGCCCGCGGAGCTAGGCTCCCGCTAGGCTCCTCTCACAGTCCGCCCTGAAGACCGGTGCAGCATGAAAATCTGTCTCCTGTGAGGATCTGTCCCCCTCGACGTATCTGCGCATGTCCCGGAGATCGCCGATCGGCTGCTAATGCCTGAAACTGGCACATGCGCAGATACGTCGAGGGGGACAGATCCTCATAGGAGACAGATTTTCATGCTACACCGGAACGAAGCGGGAACACGGCGAGAGGAACGCGCGGAGCAAAGGTAAGTGAATTGACACAGGGGGGACTTGGGGACTTAATATGGGGGATGAATTACTATAGGGGGGATGAATTACTATAGGGGGGATGAATTACTATGGGGGATGAATTACTATGGGGGATGAATTACTATGGGGGATGAATTACTATATGGGGGATGAATTACTATGGGGGATGAATTACTATAGGGGGGATGAATTACTATGGGGGATGAATTACTATGGGGGATGAATTACTATATGAGGGATGAATTACTATATGGGGGATGAATTACTATGGGGGATGAATTACTATGGGGGATGAATTACTATATGGGGGATGAATTACTATGGGGGATGAATTACTATATGGGGGATGAATTACTATGGGGGATGAATTACTATATGGGGGATGAATTACTATATGGGGGATGAATTACTATGGGGGATGAATTACTATATGGGGGATGAATTACTATATGGGGATGAATTACTTTGGGGGATTAATTACTATGGGGGATGAATTACTATGGGGGTTGAATTACTATATGGGGGATGAATTACTTTGGGGGATGAATTACTATGGGGGATGAATTACTATGGGGGATGAATTACTATGGGGGATGAATTACTATATGGGGGATGAATTACTATATGGGGGATGAATTACTATGGGGGTTGAATTACTATATGGGGGATGAATTACTATGGGGGATGAATTACTATATGGGGGATGAATTACTATATGGGGGATGAATTACTATATGGGGGACGAATTACTATGGGGGATGAATTACTATGGGGGATGAATTACTATATGAGGGATTAATTACTATGCTTACTATGGGGGAATATTACTATACTTACTATGGATGACACATACACATCATTCATCTACTCTTGGTCCGGCCCCCGGGTCCAATATATGAACCCATTGCGGCCCTCAAGTCAAAAAGTTTGCCCACCCCTGGGTTAGACTGTGCACTTTGCAAGGGCATTTGCTTCAGAGCTCAGTAAATGAGAAGATGCTCTGCTGACTTCCATCAACCAATCATAGCAAGCAAAACTGTTGTTTTTCCTTTTTTCTTTAATTTTCCTGGGATGTGATTGGGTATTCTTTGCAAAATGAAGCTTCACCTCATTTACTAAGCTGCGAAGTAAATGCCCTTGCAGAGTGCCATTGCACTTGCAAAGTGCACAGTCTGCTTTTAGTGAATCAACCACGTTGTGTTTACTCAGCTTTATCATGGAGTCCGATCCATTATCCTCCCCAATCCACAGATCCGATCCATCCTGCAGGGATCATCAGCTTGCAACCTATACGGGGTTAACTGATCTCTCCACGAGCTCCACGAAAAGCCGACGATCCCCGCAGGATGGAACGGATCTGCGGATTGGGGAAGATAATGGATCGGACTCCGATCTATCATGCTCAATCCGCAGGTCCATTCCATTCTGCGGGGATCGTCGGCTTGCTTTAAAACGTAACTTTTTTGTGGAGCGGACCCGGTGTCTCCCCATGTGATAGCTGTCACCCGGTGCGGCGCGCACACCCCACACCTGCCTAGGGACGTCCCTGATCTTACTACCTGTGAAAAGCAACATTTTACACTCGTAAACCCCAATTAGGACCACACACCACAGTATCAGAAGGAATTTGCTATATCACCATGTTCCCTAGCA